GAGAGAGAGAGAGATGGTAATTGGATCAGAGGCACTTGGGTATCCATATCCTTATTTGACAAGAAGAAAGTTTCTTGATTTCCCATTTAGCGACAATGCTGGGTTTCAATCCAAAAAGGGGTTGGAAGGGAGAGAGAGAGGAGAGCAACCACAATACACTACATTCACCCCTAAAATCTCTAAAAAATAAAGGTTACAAATATCAAGACTTTTACATTTTAAAACTTCAAAGAGTTCAATGTTTACAAGCATCAAACTGAACAATGTGAAATCTATCCACTACTCTCAAACTTCATAATCATCCTTCATCGACTGCGCGAACTCTGCATCCATTATCACCCCGTCCATAACATGCACAATAATCTCGCCTCTTCTCATATCAACCCTCTCTGATCTCACATTATCAACACTTAAAACCTTCTCAGGAAGCCTCATTATATTCAACTCAAAGCCAGCTAAGGAATCAAAACTGATCTCTCTTGTCAAAGGAACGTCTTCCGACCTTAATTTTATCGGTATAACGCTGAAACCTAATACCCGCGAAAGTATCACATCGGTATTGTTCTCCTTATTATACACAGAGGTTCCATTAACGTTAATTTTCAGAAGCCGCTCAAAAGCGGCTTCAGAGGGCAAGAACAATGTAAAGGGCAGGTCTTCATTGAGCATGCTGAGCATTATCTCTCCAATCACCCCAAAATGATAATCCTGAAACCTTTTGTGAAGGTTTAGAATTCCCAGTGAAAGTGGGTCTCCATTTTCGGAGGCCTCAGGTAGCTTGAAAACTGAAAGAAAGATCATGAACAGTACCCATATAAAACAGAGGAATATAGCACGTCGTGTGATAAGACTCTTTCTAAACCAGCATCTTGCAGATGAGGTTGGAGGCACTGCTGAATTGCCAGAGATGTCCATAACCAGAATTCTATCTAGGCATATAGTCAAGGAAAATGCCGTAGAACTGTATTGAAGAATGTTGGTTCTCTTAAACCCAGTGTCTTCTCGTTTGGCAGAGCCAAACACTGTGTCAGTTGAGCCACAAATTGGCGCCCCCCCCCCCTTCCTCTCTCTCTCTCTCACAAGCACACACTGACTCAGTTGGCTTTAATCAACAATTCCCTTTTCCCTCCACAGTGTTCCCCTGATCACTCTTATCTCTTCTATCCCGTTCCACTTCTTTAACCCTCCTGTATCCCATTTCCTACTTTTGTATCCGCTTCTATGGCTTCTTCCTTTGAGGCCTACTCTCTCTTCTTGGTGATGCCTCTGTTTGTTCACACTTTTACACCTATTGCAAAGTATTTGTATTGCCTCACTATCACTGTTAACTATCTAAAAAGATAAAACTAAGTCAATGATTGCCCTCCAAGATGGTTAAAATCTGTCCACCTTGACTAAGGATTGCATCCAAGAATGTCACCACTTCATCCACATTTTCAAAGGGTTTTGGCGCCTTGAGATCACTGTCCAAATTGTACCAAATCCCATTTATCATTCTCAAAGCAACCCAGTGTCGACTCCTCCAAAGACCGCCCAGTTTCCTCACAGGGACATTGAGCAGAACCCCAATAAGAGAAATGTTAGAGAGAGAAAGATCAATTGAAGAGGCACCCTTTCTCAGGTCATGCCATACTACTCTCTTTCCTCTTCCCTCAAGTGCTGAAATTAGGACATTTATGTCGTAGTTTCCTGTGAGGGAATTATGGTGGGATTTCCAAATCAGAGAAAGGGGACTCTGGCCTTCCTTGTTTGGGTCGATAAGATCCAGTTTGTTGGCAATGTCATCCAAATCTGACCTTGTGAATGAGTCCTTTCCCTGAACTATATAGCAAAGTTAGACAAGAACAGTCCGTTTCTTGAGCAAGACAAAGTAGAACAACCAGTACACAATGACTTCCCAAAAGAATTGGCCAAATAGTGCACAAAAGGTCAGCCAAAATAAGGCATATGGCAACTAGAATACCATAAGATGATATCCAAGTTTCAAAAAAAATGAAAGGATGAACTAAATTCCACCTGATTTACTCTATAGTCACTAATTTTTAATAAGAAAATACAAATATCACAAGCTTTTCACAAAGGGTGCGGTTTGTACAGAGCCTAGGCTCTAAACAATCAAATTAGAGCCTACCTTCAAATAGTGCCGAGAAATGTAGTTTCAATATTGAAAATATTTGTGATAGTCTTAAAATATATTTTCATCTTTATTTATAAAGTTCAAAGCTTCAAAATAGTGTAGATCGATAGATCTATTAAAACTTAAAAATGTTGAAAATTGACGGTCCGAAAATGCATTACAAAATACACTATTTCCAAAACTTGAAATCCAGTTTTTTCTCATTTCCATGCATCTTGATGTCCAGATGATCAATTTGAGGATATTTGGGCATCAAAACAACCTCTTCTAGTGAAATTTTTGAGGTAGGCTCAAATTTGATTGTTTAGAGCTTTGGCTCTATATAAACTTTCCCCTTTCACAAAAGGATAAAAATACTGATAAGCAAATGCCTTGGAAGGTTATTGCTGAGTAAGAAACACAGACACAACCAAGTGGTTTGAATGTTCATTACAAATTTCTAAACACTTAATCAACCCAATAACAATATAATGCAAATAATTTCAAGGGCAGTGTTAACATGTTGCCCATAGGCTGGTGATGCATGCTTACATGTATCGACACTTGGACATGTGTATACTTTGCATAGAAAAAAAATAGGCCTGGGCAAGATTGAACTTTTTTTCTTTAGAAGGAAAAAAGGTTGGATCTACTGCTAAAACAAGCATTGTACATCTCAAGAATAAAAGAAACTATAATATTCATTTATACCACCTTAAAGCATATAATTTTGCATTTGGGAAATTGATCCACAGGACGTGTTGGGTCATATTACAGTTTTTGGATAACAAATTGGACAATTGGAGTACGTGCTGGACCTTGACACCCGTATCAGAGTCCATGTAACACTGCTCAAGGGCATGCTACAATAGGAAAAGGGAGGTCAAGGAGTCCATATATGGCTTTCGGGATGGGTTTTATTGATGTTACTGAGAAAATGCAATCAAATTCTTTCCCTGCAAATTTGTTTGATTTGCCCAACTTTGACTGCACATTTTGTAAACGAGCTGCAAAATCGCATATCTCATACATGGACAGTATTTACACAGCAATGACATTTCAATGCCATTACCAAAAACCAAACGTGTAATTGGTATTCCAATGTACAATTGGTACGGAGAGCAGGATGTTGTCATAGAAACTATCAAAATTATAGCGTTAAGTGAATTAGAGTGACTCATTGAAATTCAACTAGAATTTCAACGAACTAATTCCTGCAAACTCTCGAGTCCGGACAATTATAATGATGGAAATATTCAATAAAAATTCAAAGCCTTACAAGATGAATTGTCATGTATACTGGATGAGTGGAGCATGGATTATGTTACCAGGGCATCAATAGTCAAAGATAAAAGAGTAAAATTAAAAAGAGAGGCAAAACATTAACATGGAAAAGGTAAAGAATCCAATATAAAAGACTATCGTTTTCCAGAAGTGAATTTTTCCCAACTCAAATAAGGTTCTATGTAAAAGGGAGGGTTTTTGGAACTTATTATTGCATTTATGAATCTAAGGTTCTCCTTTCAAACTGATCCCAAATAAACAAGAAAGAGAAAAAAGACAAATATTATACAATACCATATAAAAGAAATAAACAAGATTAAAGCTGGTTTGATTCAGGCAAAAAGAAATATAGAAGTTGAGTTAATAGAGAGAATAACCAGTTCTTCTTTTAACATTTTCAGGAAAGAAGAAAGCCATTAAAACTTCCAAACGGATAACAATTGAACAGATAAGAGAAAAAAACACTCAGAGAAGAATCTTAGCATCCATAGAAAAGCTCAACATTTGCTTAATTGAAACATGCAGAGTTTATGGATTTTCAGAGACATTCAAACTCAGGCAATTTAGAACATAAAAAAGGATCGAAAACATAGAAAGTTGCAGACCTGAAGAAGATTATTGAGGGCGTGGAGGAGGCAAAACTGTAATCTTTGCTTTTCATGGTAGATTTCCTTGTTTTCCATCACTTAAGGAATCAGAAGACGCCCATAACCAAACTCTAGATACAATCAGAAGATCACTAAGAATAATCCCTAAATTCCTTGCTCTATGTGGATTTAATACATCGGTATCTTACTTCTCTGTAGAATTCAGACCTTAATTTCCTTCTTCAGAAATAACACGGAAGCCTATGCACAATCAACAGTTCCAGATAAAAACAATAGAAAGAACCAGAAAATCTCTTCCAATCTGCACAATTCACACTGAAACCTAAGCAGATCAAAGCTCACCATAAAAAAACCCAGAACGAATCAGCAAATCTCCTCAAAGAAACTTGATTTCTTCTTCTATATAAATTTGAAATCATTGCAGAATCAATAGTTCCCCCTTAAAAAAACCCTAATTTCCTCAGCGGATTTACAGAGTCAGGGATAGAAACCCTAAGGGGAACAAATCTGGTTTTGTAGTAGTATACTGAAGTACTGAAATCTAGATTTAAATTTAAAAATTTGACGGAAATACCTCTTATTGAGTGAAATTGCAATATGGACCTGCGATTTTTACCCATCTGCCCCTAGTGGCCCAAAAGTACAATAAACGCTCCAAATTTTTAATTGAAAAAGAGAAATTTATCCAAATGTGCCTGAGATGAAGTATTTAATCCAAAGTTAATTTACTCATGCAGGAGTACAATGTCCATTTACTCCCTCGATTTAAACTCTACTTATACTTGATTTTAGGATTTTAAACTTGAGACGTAGCCTATTCAGCTCGTAAATTAACCTTAATAAAATCAATTTCCTAATTGTACTCTCTAGTGCACTTGGAAAAAATGATGTCTCGAGATTGAATAAAGAACATCTAATTTTTAAATGGTGAGACATGAGTATTAAAAAAACTCAAGTTTTATTTATTTATTTATTTTTAAATAGTCGATTTTTAAATAGTTCTCAAAATTTCAGATAGAAAAATCGTTTCATGTAGATCTCTTGATTGAGGAACTAGAAGTAAACTATGCTCCCAAAGGAGCCTTGTGCTGTCAAAAGATAGTCTACTCTTACCGGAGTAGAATATCCATTTACTCCTTTGGAATAAATCCCACCTAGATCTAGATTTAGGGCTCAACCTCAATAAAAACAATTTACTAATTGTATTCTCCATGCACTTGAAAAATATTGTCTTGAGGTTGAATATAACCATCCAATTTTTAGATGGTTAAATCCAAGTTTAAATCCCCTAAATGGAAGGCAGGTTTTTAAGGAATGCATTATGCTCCTGCACGAGCACTAATTACGTGACTTACTAAGGGAACCCACCATTTTTTATGTGACCATCCATGTCTTCACATTTTTTTTATGCGATGATCCATCATTAGTTGCATATAGGTCCAAATGACCTAAGCTGATTAAAAAATTCGAACGCATGCGCTTAAATCATTTGACCATTTCTTATTGCTGTTACCCCATCATTAAACACCAATAGTTTTGTCCGTTAGAAAAATTTTGGAGAAAGTCTTGCATTTCATCTTGTTGTACCTCTATGTTATGAGTTATAGATATAACATTTTTGAAGTAGATGTAAAAAGTAATCTAATTAACCTTTTCTATTTGAGTTTCGAAAAGTGTAGGTCCAAAGGCATATGGATGGTCTCACCTTTGAAAGTTTATAAGCTTAATTTTGATGGTAGCTCATTGGGTAACCCGGGTCTTGTTGGTTTTAGAGAGGTTCTTTGAGATTGGATGGGTAATGTGATCTTCTCCTATACCGGGCTACTTGTGGTGCAAACTGCGAATTATGTAGAGATCTTTGCTCTTTTTTTTAACTTTCATTCTCTGGTGGAGAGGAATTTAGGGACCTCTTACATTATTGAATGGAATTCTCTCGATGTTCTGAAATGGTGCAAAGGGGATCAGAAGTTTATTTGGGAGTTGAAATATTTGTTGTTTCAGATTTTAGATCTCGCATCTTCATTTTCTGTATTTTTTATTCATGTGTATAAGGAGGCTAATGTGCTAGCTTATTCTTTGGTCAAAGGAAGTTCTACCCTCTCTGAAGCCGATATTTTGGATACTGTAATCTCATTCTAGATTAATAATATCTTTGAACTTTCTTTAAAAAAAAAAAAAAAAAAAACAACCAATAGCTTTTTTTTTCTTTCCATTTTTGTTTAGAGAAAATTACCTGCATATCCTATATAATTACTTCAAGGGTGCAATTTCTATAATGTTGCAACTTTAAACAATCCAAATAAGACGCACCTCCAAGTCTCCATCGAAGAGAATAGCCGGTAGATATCACGACGTTGTATATATTTATTCCTATAAACTCCTTTGTTGTTATAATTTACTAGGAAGTCATTATGAAAAAAAGCATAGTGTAATCTTATACTATAGATGTCGGGACGAAAATCCATCGAATAAGGTTCTTTCCACTCTAGATTATTTCTAATTGATCTTCTCAACTTTGAGATTTATGTATATGAAAGAAAAAGGGATTTTAAATACTAAAAATAATTTATTGTGTAACATATTATCAGGGCCATCTATTTTCAAGTATTTATAGATGGGTTGGAACATCATTATTTTTTGAACTTTAAAATTTTATAATTAAAGCTGAAAATAGGTTTTTAGGTCATTATAAAATTTTCGACACCAAAAATGCAATCATCCCGCAAAATCAATAGGCCCACCTTATTGTGATTACATAGGGCAATCATAATTATTGGCGCAAAGAAGTATATAGGGATTATTACTGCAAGCCAAACCAACCAACCAACTGTTCCCCTATTGAAGAAAACCGATTCTCTTACCACACCAAACTGGCCCAATAATGAAACCCGTACTACAATCGAGAAAAACCGGTTCCTTGCTCTTGAGCCCCCAATTCCACCTTCAACCAAACGCTATCTGAATTTCACATCATCTACCCAAAACCAAGCTTAGAGATAAGAACCAGTTCCATGATCTCTGATTTAAAAATCGGATTGCTGATTAGGATTGAGCAACGCAAAAACCAGTTCAAATCGAGGAATCATTGGTCCAGGTCACCGATTTGCCGTACAAAAAAAATAGTGAACCGACGAAAAAATAAGTGCGAAATAAGTGAACCGGCAAAAAACCGGTCCGGACAAACAAAATCAGAGATTAAACTGAGTCCTTAACCCCACAAATTTTTAGCCACATTTCCATTAAAAAACCGAGGAAAAAACCACAATTTTCCATTAAAGAGCACAAGCCAATACAAATTAACCTACAGTAACAAATCTCATGAACTCAGGGTCATTAACAAGCCTAGCCATGGTCTCAGGCTTCAAACAAACCTCTAAGTCCACCGAACCAGGCCCTTCTTTCCCAGGAAATGCAGAGATCTTGCCATCAAATTTGTTGGCCCTCCCACTCCTCACGCACAGTGGTGGGCCCCATCCGAAGTCTGGCCCGTACATCGGAAACCTCGGCGAGCTGCCCATTGTGATTGTGGCACCATTCGAGTCGCCAAGCGGGAAGCACTTGGGCTCCCTCTCCCATGCCTCGATGCAGCGGCGTATCGTGTCGTTGTCGTAGGCGCCAACTCCCTTGTGCAGGAGGGCGGCGCACCAGCCCAGGCTGAGGCCGGTCACGTCACGAGCTTTGGCTTGGGTGGGCATGCTCTGGATGCCATTGCCGAAGTAGTCGGGAGCCACGGGTGGGCGCATTCTGTGCCTGCAATTAACTGCCATCCTGAACATGGTCAGGGCCCCGGGCTCCATCCGCCGAGCTCGGGTCACCGAGACCCACAGCAAGCCACATAAGGCTTGGAACGAGGATATCTCATCTTTTCGAGCTGACAAATTTGGAGGAGATGCTAAAGGCGGCCGAATTGCTGCTAAATTTGGCGGCACCACCCCATTTCTGATCCTGAACTTGAGCCAATTGTCGTGCGTCGCTTTGCCAATCGCCTCGCCATTGCAGAAATTGGTGATGGCGGGGTCTTTTCGATGATTATTTAGCCTCTCGTCCTTGTTCTTCTTCCTGGAGAACTCCACGAAATTTGGCAGCTCAGGTGCATTTGGTGGAGCCGCCATATTGAACACGTTCTCATTGTTCTCATTGCCATAGCCATCATCGATGCCAAAATTTGCAGCGCCACCACTTCTCTTGAGTTTCTTGTCATTGCACTCTTTTCCCATAATCTCTGCCAAATTTGGCGGCGTTTCCCTCTGGTTCAGGCGATTTGCCATGGTTTTGAGCTCGAGAACAGCCTCTCTGCTGAACCCGATGATCCTCTCACAAAGCTGAGAAGGACCCAATATTGGCGGAGGAGGTGGCCCACCGTCCTGAAACTTGAGCACAGCCATGGAGTCCTTCACGAATTTCCGGCCAATCTCGGGCATAGCTCGCCGGGAAACCTCCTTTTTCTGGCAATGAATGGCCGCCCAAGCATTAAAAAACTCCCAATAGGAGGTCCCATCCACCACCGCATGATTGACTGAGCACCCAATGAAAACCCCATCATCGAGCTCAGTGATCTGAACCGCCAATAATGGCATGAAATGGCCTGAGTAGCTCCCCACTCCATCCATAGCAAAGAATTCTCGTACAATTTCCGGGGTATATTCAGGAGAAAGGACGCCGGAAATCGAAAATCCATCGAGTTTGGCATGGGTGAGATCCGCACCTTCGCCATTGCAGACCACGAAGACATGACCGTTTGTGTCGGTAGTCATGCGACCAGCGAGCATTGGAAACTGGTTGAGGGCCTTGGAGAGGCTCTGCCGGAATCCGGCGAAGAAATCGCCTGATTCTGACGCTTTCGGCCTGGAAAAGAGCAGGCCCTTTTGGATGTAGTGGAGAGAGAGCATGGGTAAGTCGGAGACTGTGAGCTTGATTCTCCTGAAATCCGAGGGCTCATCAGGGAAAACTGTGGTCCTTGAGACTATAGAAACAGAGGGAGGCGTGTCCATTGCTGGAGAATTGGCCGAAATTTCGAACCAGGAGATTTCCGGAGCCAGAATCCGGCAAGGGGGTGGATTGGTGAAACAATGGGGGAGTTTGTTTTGGTGGAAAAAGCTATGGATTATGAACCAGAGAAGCCTAAAATTTCCATTAAAATCAAATAAAGTTGGGTGATCAGATGGTTTGAAAAAGGGGATGAGAGTTCTAGAGAGAAAGAAAAGGACAGTGGGGTGCCCGAAAATAGCAAAAAGTGGTGGTTGATAGTGAAATACAGAGAACCTATATAGAGAGTGTGTGTAACCTAAGAGTGTGAAATGGCGAGAGCAAAAAAAAGAGCAACAATTTACAGTTAGAGAGACAAATACAGAGGAGAGAGAAACTTGTAATGGTGTGTGAGGAAAATAGCCTAGTAATGGTGTGCGAGGAAAATAGCAAAAATGGTGGTTTGGATGAAGTAAAGAGAGAAACACAGAGAGAGAAAAACTCGAATTGGGTGGCAGGAAAACAGGAAAAGTGGGGATAGCTAAATGCAGGTCAGGCAGAAGCAACTTGAGCCAAATTCAGGCAATGGATCGCACTAAATTTAAACAGATTCCAGAAGGGGTTCTTGTGACGAAATGAGGGTAAGGTGGTGTATATATAGAGGGAAGTTTTAGTGAGAGAGTGTGCGCAATGTCATGAAAGGGAGTTTCGGTGCATGCACTTCAGTGGTGGTTGGTGGTGATGGAGGTTATGATCCTAGAGAGAGAAAGGGGGTTATGATTCTAGAGAGAGAGAGAGAGGGTTATGATTCTAGAGAGAGAGTGAGTCAGTCAGTCAGTGTGTGGCCGGTGCATGGACAGACGCGTATTTATAGAAGGGGGAGTGCCCCGCTAGTAGAGAGAGAGAGAGAGTAAGATGAACATTTTTAGAGAGAGAAAGTGAGGTTCAGAGTGTACGATATATATTTGTAGAGAGAGAAAGTCATGTTTTCTAAACAAAACAGACTGTGCTTGTCAGAACCGCGGTGAAAAAGGCGGTGGATCAGGTTCACGTCTAAAATATGCATACAGTCACCCATACCTGAGCTGTGTTACTATGTCCTAAGCCAAAAGATTCCATGATCCCGACGGAGCAAATCGTCCATTTATTTCTTCCAAAAATATCCGACCTAGGGATCTTTTTAGGAATCAAACTTTGTGGATTGTGGATATAACCTCTTCAACGATTGCTTTATTCGATAAAAGAATTTCCAAATTTCATTTTTTATAGACTTGAAAAAAAAAATAACGTCTTAAAATTGAATGGAAATTCCAATTTTTAAAGGGGAAGATCTACGTATTAGAAAACTCAAAATTTTAATTCTTTTTCTTTTTAAATATAATCATCTAGTGAAAATTTTAAGTGATCTCCAAAATCTTTAATAAAAAAATCCTCCTAAAATGGCGTTTTTTCTGAGGGAGTAAACATACAGTATATACTCCTGAGGGAGCATCATATACAGCCATGCTTAATAAAATCTAGAGAGAGAAATCACTCGATGAGAATGAGCTGTGTTATTAAATCGAGAGAGAGAGAGATTAATTAAGGGAATTGCCATTAAGACATAACACGCACACTCTCTCTCTCTCTCTCTCTCTCTTCAAACATGGAAGAGGAATTGAATCCTAAAATGGGCAGATTTTGTGCATGAAAGTTGAATTTGTTGGAATGCGATAACTTTTTCGCAGAGGCTATTTTTAATTTGCAAATCTTGTTATAATTCAGTTATGGATTACTTGTTTGATAATTTGTTTGATAGTTATTGAGTAGAGAGATCGTACATTAGCATGATGTAACTTTAAAGAGATTTGGCTTTGCGACTTTATAGAGAGGGGAAAGCTTTCTATGGTCCCTGCAACATAGAAGTTTTATGTTCGGCCTACCATCCACCTGTTTATTTTTTTTATCAAGAGTGTCATTCAGCGTTTGATTTTAGATCTGATGTCTCAAAGTATTTTATTTTTAGTTTTTTAATATAATTTTTTTTAATATGAAATTTGACATGCGTCATCTTCTCATTGGGGCGCACCTATAAAAAATATTAACAATAAATTTTCGATAAAAACTAATGACCAAAATACCCCTTGAATCTTTCGGGGGTATTTTGGTCATTTTATTTTATTAGAAATATTTTTTTTATATTTGTTGTTAGTGCGAGTTTAATATAAAAATGGAAGTCCAATTTTTGGTGTCAAAACAGTTTATAAAAAAAAATAAAAAATTTAAAAATAAAGCAGTGTAGAGACGTGACATTGTGATTAGGGCAATCTTAGCCCTCCATAAAAAATGGACGGTTGGATAAGGGGAACATGGAACTTCTATGTTGTAGGAAGAACATAGAAAGCTTTCCCTATAGAGAGAGGTAGAAAAGTGAGAGAAATGTACCGAGAGACGAATTTAAAGAAGGAAAAAGAACACAAACAGAGTCATAATAAATTTAGAGAGAGAAAAATAGAGAGCGAAATGACATATAATCAAAGAGTAAAACACTAGTGTTCCCAAACTCCACGGGTCCAAAAAAGTAAGGGATTTAATTGTAATGTGTTTTTTACTATCTTTTTAGAAAAAATATATAATAAGATCATTTATTTTTTGTAAAAAGTGGTCACAATTAATCTTGGCTATTTGATGTGAAACTGGGTGGCTGTATTTATTTTATTGATTAAGCTCAAAGTTCAAAATTTTTTTTATCGAACTTTGTGATGCATCCAAGCTATTAGATTTCACGTCATATAGTTTATAGGTAATTTTAACCTCATTGTATTAAAGGTAAATGGTGTCGTTGTATGCGATCCCTAATTTTTATCATTTTGATAAAATTAGAAAGTGTTTTGGTTATGAATATCTATTTATATTTTTTTTATTTTATAAAAATTTCAAAAATACCTATGGCAGCAAATCAAATTTTAATTTTTTTTAATTTTAAATTTTTTTTTTTTACTATTTACAACTTTATTTCGATTTGCTTTGTTTAAGCAATCTTTAAATATATATTTTTTATTTTTTAAAACGTATTTTAGACTGAGACCTGCCCAGTTATGTCGTTTGAATCCAGTAGTTTATTGGTTAGTCAGACCCGGCCCTTGGCCGGTTCGATTTTTCGAGCATTGTAAAACACTCAGAGGAACAGTGTAAAACACCTAGAGGAACACTTGGCAAAGAGAGTAGGGAAATGTTTCTATACTTCCCCTACAACATAGAAGATCTATGCTTCCCTTACTATCTAGCTGTCCAATTTTGATCAAGAGAGTTACTCATCGTTTGATCTTAAATCCGACGTCTCAAAATATTTCATTTTTAGTTTTTGTTATACAAATTGTATGCATATGAAATTTGGTACGTGTCATCTTCTCATTGCGGTGCACCTATAAAAAATATTAAAAATATTTTTTTAATAAAATATAATGACCAAACTACCTTTTAAAAATTTAAGGGGTATTGTGATCATTTTATTTTATTGAAAATATTTGTTTTATATTTTTCGCTGGAGCGTGTTTAATAGACGATTTGACATCCAAAATTTGGTGTCAAAATAATTTATAAAAAAAATTAAAAATAAAATAGAGTAGAGACGTGACATTGTGATTGGGGCAATCTCTGCCCTCCATTCAGAATGGACGCTTGGATAAGGAGAACTATATAAATTTTATGTAATAGGGGAAGCATAGAAAGCTTGTCCAAGAGAATAAAAGGTAACGAGAGAAAAGTCACATTAATTGAAAGAGAGAATAGACTTAGAAAAAAGACACGATCGATGGAGCCAATGAAACTAGGTTGAAAACGTAATTAAAGAGATGAAATATATATAAAAAATTCATAAAGCCAAATTACTCCCAATTTCTTTGATGTTTCCTAACTCAGACACACGTGTTAAACGTCCTTGGAACGTGTCCAACGTACAAATTGCACATCACACTTTGGCTTCACGTTTTTTTGCTGGAAACTAATGCGAAACTTCTCAATGTTAATTAAAATCTCACCAATACCCTTTCAAAAAAAAAAAGCGACACGTATACTCTTGTGAAATTTATTTTTTCTTCTTGTAGGTACTCATATGAAATATTTATTGCCAAAAAATTATAATTTCCCACTAGAGTATATCATTTATGTACTTTGTCGGAGAAATTTCAGGACTTCAAATTTTGAGATGTAACCTCTTCAATCACATAATAACTTCAATAAAAAATATATCTAATTTGTAATTTTTTATGCACTTGAAAAAATAATGTCTCAAAATTAAGCATCTTGTCGCTCAAAATTCAACTTTTTTGAAAAAAATCTTCTAGTTATTTTAAGACGGTTCTCAAAATTACAGATTGAAAAAAACCCTCCCAGGTAGGTCTCCTTATCTAGGGAGTAGATGTACACTATGTTCCCCAAAGAGTATAATATACTTAGTCATTTTCATTGGCATGCGGTTTTTCCTATCTAAAACTATCATCGGTAAATCTATTTTTACTCGATGGATTAAAAAACAATTAAATTGATTCTGAAAGTAGCTTATGCCTTTATTAGAATTTGTTTTTGGGTAATATAATAGGAAATACATGCGTATGATTGAGGTATAGGAGGTACTACCACCACGACCCGAGTTCTTTTTCCGCATTTATTAGAATTTGTTTTTGGGTAATATACTAGGAAATACAGGCGTATGATTGAGGTATGGGAGGTACTACCACCACGACCCAAGTCCCATTTTCGCATTTATTAGAATTTGTTTACATTGTTCTGGTACTTACTGTGTACAAATCAAAATTAGAGTTGTCTCATGAATTTGTCCTTTTTCATATTCATTTTGTTTTTACCCACTCTTCCACGTGAATTCATTTATATTTTTGGCTTTTGTTCAAATTTTGGACAATGCTAAAACATGAGAAGCCAAAAAATGGAAAGCCCTGATAATAAAGGAAAATTATCTCATTGGAATCCTACCGGAAAAACCAATATAGGCTTTGGAAACTCTATGGGCCCCATCCCAACCCCAACCCCCATTTCCCCCTAAAAAAAATATTTCTGGGAATTTCATATAGTTGAGAATTTAAATCTAGACATGATGTTGTGGCACCTGCACCACCTTTGTAACCCCCCCATTTTATGTCTTAATAGATTTGTCATTTCTACCCCATTTTTGAAGCTCAAAATTCTGCAGAACAATTGGATTTATAGACAATCACCCTTTATCTCTTGCCCGATCTGGTGTTCTGGTGGGCTTTGGAAGTTAGCTTTATAAATTCATCTAACAGAAGGGCGTGTTTGGATGACAATTAATTTTGTCATCAAATAACTATTTTACATAGACTTAATAGAGTCTGAATAATATTATTTTGTTCACTGTTTGGTATGTATCATGTATGAAAAATTGTCTCATGCAGGCTGGACCACATAGCTATATGCGGTCAAAAAAGTGTAAAGCATCCATCTTAAAGATGGATGCAAGTACGTGTTCCATCTAAAAACAATAAAAATTAACGGTCCAAATGTTTTTTTTACTAGGATGATTATTTCTTGTTTTTAAAATTTACTTATTTTTTCATATTCACGATCTTCGTATTAGAGATTACATATCTTTAAAAATTAACTCAAAAAATCGATATCAAAAATACATTTATTATTAGGCCCGCATTTCTATATATGCGGGCTTGGTTGTATAAAAACCGGGTCCATCATGTAATATGTATAAGGGAAAGGTTTCTATACTTCCCCTACAGTCTACAGTATAGAAGATATATGCTTCCCCTACCATCCAATCATCCAATTTTGATCAAGAGAGCCACTCACCGTTTGA